CCCCCCCCCCCCCCCAGCCACACCTTGCTCCTGGTCCTCCCATCGACGACGAGGTGGAGATGGATGGAACCTTCCTCCTACTGGGCCGGTCCCCTGGGATGCCTCCACACTAAGTGTCCGTCCACAGAAGCACAGCTAGAAAGCGCTCCTTGGCCTCCCAGTGTCGTGGCACAGGAGACCTTCCCTCGATCTCCATCAGAGCACTTGGCTACAAAACCGGACTCCCTCCGAAGCCGGTCTCTATGTCCAGAGCCTGCATCCGGTCCAGTCCTCGTTGGGGACCAGCCAGACCCTGACCCGGGGCTCCAGGACTTTTCTAAAGATGGGTATAAAACAGCCCATTTGTCCAAGTGTGTGTGTGGCGGGGGGAGGGGAGGGACTGTCAGGAATCCACCTGCAGAGCAGCTGGAGAACCTCGTGCTCAAGGGCACAAGGGCCGAGCGAGAAGGCAGCCGCTGCGAGAGGGTCCGCGTCGTGCCCGGCCTCCGCCAGCCCCTCCCTCAGCACCTCTCCTCTCTGCTCCTTCAGCGCACACGGTCCTTCCAGGAGGGCAGAGGACGGGCGGCTCGGACCGCTCCACCCCGGGGTTCTGTGCGCTCGGGCCGCAGCCGGGCACGCGCAGGGCTGAGGAGGCCACAGCTCTGAGGGCACCTGGCCAGCGACGTGAGCCCAGGGAGAGGACAGGCCTTGGAGAGAGCATTCTAGCTTGGGAGCTCAGTGGCAGCAGCCGCCACAGTGCCCGCCCGCATGGGAGTGCTGGCTGTCCCCAAACTTGGTCCTCCGGCTCAGGATCTCATAGGAGCAGTCCTCTCCACAGCAACCAGACATGCTGGGGGAAGAGTCATCGATCTCGAATCTGCAAGGCAGGCAGAAGAGGTTTGGCTGCGCGTAGCTGACGGCCTTCCTTCCTAGCCCAGGAACTTTTCTACCAGCCACACTCACAAGACCCCTAGGAGTGAGGGCGTGGCCCCAGGGCATGCCTGCACCATCCCCCCAACCCCAAGGCCACGCCCCCGGCCACTGGACCAGGAGCTCAGCCTTTAGGATGAATGAGCTTCAGGACCAGGAGAAAGCCCCCGGGGCAGGCACCCCCCACCACCCAGAGGGCCCCACACCCGGGCCCAGCTCCTTACTGCAGCGCTTCTCGGAAGAACTGGTAGGCGCCATGATTGTGCTTAAATACAGTTAACATCACTTTCTTCATCTGTGTGCTGAGAAGAAAGCAGAGAGAACACCTTCCAGAAAGAGAAACAGAGGCTAACTCATGCCTCCTCTTTCTGTCTCTGCCTGCTGTCTCCCATTTGCCCCTGAGAAGCGCACCTCTGAGCCCCAATCTAGCCTCCGTGCTAGGCGCTCACAGCACCCCCTGCCTCCGACCGCGCGGGCATCGCGCCCCCACTGAGCTGGCTTCCTCGCCACGTCCTCTCTGCACCCTACTTTTCAGGCACAAGAGGCGCTCAGAAGCACTTGCTGCTTGGAGCCACACGTACAAAAACGGGAATCCCAGCAGAGAGAAGAGTAGCTTTACTGAGAGGGTTCTAGATGTTTCTCTTCTGAAACATTCCTACGAGCCTTGTCCTCCACCGAGGCTCAGAGAAGAGTGTGGATGGCTCAGCAGATCGTGACACACGGGGCGCCCTTACCTGTTGGCCATGAGCTGCAGGATCTGGATGAGGAACTTCCCCAGGCCTTTCCGCCGCACCTTGCTTTCCAACTGCACCTCGTAGCTGGGTGAAGAAAGCATCCAAGTGAGCCCGGGGAGGCAGGGCCCATCAGAGGACCTGGGGCCCCGGCAGCCCGCAGACCCGGACCAGCGCAGCAGACCCTGCCACGCAGCTGAGTGCCCAGAGCAGCGCCAGTGCGTCCTCCCCACGGCCGACCCCAGGCTGGGGCTCCTACCAGTACAGGACTTCATCCCCGCACTCCACGTCAAACCGGAAGTGAGAAAAGGCAACAGGGACCGAACTGCTTTCCCAAGCAATGAGGTACCAGGCTCGGTCATCTGTCATTTCCTCGCGTTTCTCTCGGTCCTTCCAGCCCCATTCGCTCTGCTCATACCTGGGACACACGGGGCAGTCAGGGCGGGGAGGCCCGGAAGGGGAGGAGCGAGGGCCCCCTCCGGACAGGGCGCGCTTACATGGTCTGCATGTTGGTCTTGGTCAGGTCGAAGGCCCAGGCCACGGTGGCTGGCTCCAGTCCAGACACTCGCTTACACTCGATGGAGACGTTTAACCTGAAGAAGACGGAAGGGTGGCGAGTGGAGCTGGTGGCAGGCCTGCGGGCGGCCCGCTGCCCAGATGACCTCCCAGCGCAGCAGGCCTGGTCTCGGCTCACCCAGAGAGAGAGGCCGAGCTTGTGCCCTGCCTTCCTGGTCGTGACTAGATAAGGTGCCGCTGAAGGAACGAAGACTTTCGGGCTGAGACTGACAACTGTCATCGCCGGCCCACTGCCCTGACCACAGTCCCATTTCCTGCCCTGCGAGGCCCTCACTGGTGTCTGCACTTTGCAAACTTCCATCCCTCTCTGCTACCGCTTTGCTCTCTCCAGCCTCTACCGTGCTTCGTTATGAATCCTGAAGTCTTCTCGGATTCTTTAGTTCCTGCCCGTGGGTGTTTAGTCTCTGAACTGACTCCTCATTGGGCAGCCACAGCACCTTGAAAATGGGTCACCTCAGGCCTTTTGAGAAGGCCTGGTCCCTAACCCCCAGAGGGGTCCTGCCTGCCATTTCCTCTGAGGACACAGCAGGTGTTCTCAGCTAACCAACCCAGGTGGAGCGGGGTCCAACCCCACGCGGTTTTCTTACACTCACAAATGCCGTAGACATTAAGGTCTCATCGTTTATTTACTTCCGAAAGAAACGTTAGTAAAGCACAGTTCAGTTCTGTGGCCGAACCGTGGAACCCCAATCTCCAGGCAGTGCCACATTCTGACAGGACCAAAGTCAGTGACACGAAGTCCTTAAAGAGGTCCCAGGTCAGGCCCTTCCAATGGCCCTTGACACGACCCCTCAAGAGAATGTCCCCATTCAAAATGACTGTCACCTCTGCTGTCTGGCCCACCATATGAGCTGCACATGCGCTCAGTCTTGTAAATTCGGAACATCTTGGCTCTGAAGAGTCTTCCTTTCTAAGTGCTGGCCGTGGCATAATCAGAAACACCCCAACATGGCCTGCCCTCTGGCTCAGCCGTCTGTTTTCCAAAGGTTGGTCTAGAGGTATGAATTCTCTACTAATCTGAGTTCTCTCTCTCTCTCTCTCTCTTTTTCACTTGAGTTCTTTAAGTACATTAAAGCAGGATCACAGCCACACAAATCACACAAAATTCCAGGCACCAAAGGATCCCAGAGTTAGCTGGCAATGCCTGCTTCAGAACTGTTCCAGTATTTCTGAAAGTCAATAGGAATGTGGAATATGGAACACAGAAGACATCACAGTAAGGGATCTCTAAACTGTGCCAGAGGACTTCCCAGACACTGAAAGGTGAGGCTACTGGAGGAACTGTACTACGTCTGATCACAGGAAGGACACATTAACGTGGTACTACGAAATTCAGACAAAGCCGCGAAAAGCAGATACAGGGTCACCTACTAAATGTTCATTTCACGCGGCACCTGGTGGCTTAGTCGTTAAGTGTCTGCCTTTGGCTCAGGTCATGATCCCAGGGTCCTGGGATTGAGCCCCACATCAGGCTCCCTGCTCAGCGGGAAGCCTGCTTCTCCCTTGCCCACTCCCCCTGCTTATGTTCCCTCTCTCGCTGTGTCTCTCTCTGTCAAATAAATAAACAAAAATCTTTTGGGGCGCCTGGGTGGCTCAGTGGGTTAAAGCCTCTGCCTTCGGCTCAGGTCATGATCCCGGGGTCCTGGGATCGAGCCCCGCATCGGGCTCTCTGCTCAGCAGGGAGCCTGCTTCCTCCTCTCTCTCTGCCTACCTGTGATCTCTGTCAAATAAATAAATAAAATCTTAAAAAATAAATAAATAAAATAAAAATCTTTTAAAAAAATAAAGTGATCATTTCATAGTTCATATATTTACATCTATCTGTCTTGTTCCCTGAAACACTCAAACCAGCTGCTACTTACAGAACTGGACATAATCCTCTTTCCTCCTCAAAACGACCTTACACGTCTGGCTTCATGACTCCATTCAACAGACCAAAAAATGGGGCTGTCTGGAGTGTGCCTTGTCTGATACAATTAATCAGAAGAACAGTTTTGTTTCAAACCCATAGCTGTGATTCTCTAAAACCATAACCCATTTTTCCCTAAGCCAAGAGCAGCTCTGATAAGACAGATTATGCTTCCTATTTTATAAACCAGAAGGACAGAAAGGGGAAGGGGGCTTTAACCCAGATCCTACAGCAGGAAACTGGATTAGTAGCAATAACAGTAGTGATAACACTGACCTAGGTTTTGGTAAGCTCCAGGTACGAGGCACTTCATACCTAATCCTCCCCAAACCATCTTTTATCAGACCCACTGCTGATTAGAATATGGAGGCTCAGAGAGATTAAGTCCAGGGTCAAGGGTCATACAGCCAGTTAACTGGCTTTTTAAAAAAATATATTTTATTTATTTATTAGACAGAGAGAGACACAGTGAGAGAAGGAACACAAGCAGAGAGAATGGGAGAGGGAGAAGCAGGCTTCCCACCAAGCAGGGAGTCCGATGCGGGGCTCAATCCCAGGACCCTGGGATCACGACCTGAGATGCTTAACCACTGAGTCCTCCAGGCGCCCCAGTAAGTGGCTTTTAACAATTACACCATACACTCCCGGAAAGAGCCCTAGATTGGGAATTAAAAGCCCCCTCAGCAGCCAGGGAGAAACTACGTGGCTTAGGAATCTTATTCAGCTTCTCTGAGCCTTGGTTCCCCTCTGCACAAAAGGAGGAAGTCAGCCTAGACGATTTTTTTTAAATTCTTTTTTTTAAGATTTTATTTATTTATTTGACAGAGAGACACAGCAAGAGAGGGAACACAAGCAGGGGGCGTGGGAGAGGGAGAAGCAGCCTTCCCGCCGAGCAGGGAGCCCGACCTAGGGCTCGATCCCAGGACCCTGGGACCATAACTGGAGTGGAAGACAGCCGCTTAACCAACTGAGCCACGCAGGCGCCCCCTAGACGAGTTTTCCAGTTTGTTTCAGCTCTATGACTTTTTTTTTTTAAAGATTTTATTTATTTGACAGACTGAGATCACAAGTAGGCAGAGAGGCAGGCAGAGAGAGATGAGGAAGCAGGCTCCCTGCCGAGCAGAGAGCCCGATGCGGGGCTCAATCCCAAGACCCTGGGATCATGACCTGAGCTGAAGGCAGTCAGCTCTATGATTCTACACCTGGAGAGAATATCAAATCCTAAGGAAATATTAGTCTAAGATGATGCAATCTTTGTTCATTTACAGATTTCTCTGTTACCTAACCAGGCACTTTTGTATCAAGACACTCAACACAGCTTCTCCTTTTTCGTAACAAAAAAATGAGAAAATGTGGGTCGGAGGAAGCACACTCCGGGAAAACGAATTCCTTCACTCAAGGAGACAACAGTTAGGAGTGCTAAACACTTACCCATTTCGATCGTATTTCTTGAACACTGGGAAAGCCTCTAGAGGGTCTCCAAGCTGCGGAGGGAAAGAAAAGAGTAGCACAAACACGCGCGGTGCAGTCGCAGGCTCTCCCTGCAGCGAGACAGTGTGCAGAGCCACGCTGGGAGGCCTGGCCCCCGACCCAGGAGCAGCGGCCGGACAGCGCTCCACCTGCCTCGGCTCTGAAAGCACACGCAGGCAGGGTCTAGTAAGGAGGCCCAAGGCAGTTAAGTCAGCTTCATTTCACAAGGTAAGGAGAGACTCTGCGAGCCTAACACCATTACTGGCCTGTAGGTCACATGACCCCAAAACCGGAGGGCATGTGATCCACCTGCAAACTTCCTTTCTGTGGGGGTTTGACCTCGTGATCCTAGATCAGGAGTTGCCTGCTCTACCAACTGAACCAGCCCGGTGCCCCATCCGCCCACATACTTTTTCTTTTTTCTGAAACTTTTTCTTTTTTCAGATTTTACTTATTTATTTTCAGAAGCCTGTGCACATGTGCAGGCTCAGGGGGAGGGGCAGAGGAGGAGAGAATCTCAGACTCCATGCTGAGTGCAGAGCCCAGCACAGGGCTGGGTCTCGAGACCCTGAGATCATGACCTGAGCTAAGATCAAAAGTTGGACACTTACCTGGCTGAGCCGCCCAGGCGCCCCTTACCTGCGTACTTCTAAGAAGTCCCCAACTAACCCCACTGTGTCAAAACCCAAAATGGCACAATCATGTCCCTGAACCACCTCTTTATAAATGTAGACTGCTTACGGGGTGGGCTAAAAAGGTAACAAAAGGGGCGCCTGGGTGGCTCAGTGGGTTAAAGCCTCTGCCTTCGGCTCAGGTCATGATCCCAGGGTCCTGGGATCGAGCCCCGCATCAGGCTCCCGGCTCAGCAGGGAGTCTACTTCTCCCTCTCCTTCTGCCTGCCGTTTCCCCTGCTTATGCTCTCTGTGAAATAAATAAAATCTTTAAAAAATAAAAAAAGAGAGAAACAAAAAATGGGATATGGAATGGGAGCAGGAAGGATGGTCAGAGCCTCTTCAGTCCTGTTTGAAAGACAAGCCTGCTCTTCGCGGGGCCACCTGGGTGGTCCGCTTCACCACTCCTCCCTCCTGGACTCTGGCCCCTGAACCAGGCTGCTGCCCCTGCCCCCGGTGCCAGCACAGTCTTTGGTACTTCATAGCCAATAAATGTCTGAAGGAATGAATGAGAAAACTATACCATATGTTACCAGGGACGTTTCCTCTCCAAAATGCAAAATCCTAACAGAATTTTCTCCGGGGGGCGCCTGGGTGGCTCATTGGGTTAAAGCCTCTGCCTTCAGCTCAGATCATGGTCCCAGGGTCCTGGGCTCTCTGCTCAGCAGGGAGCCTGCTTCCCCCACTCTCTCTCTCTGCCTGCCTCTCGGCCTACTTGTGATCTCTCTCTGTCAAATAAATAAATAAAATCTTTAAAAAATATATTTTTTTTTTTCTCCAGACCCTCTTCCACTGCTATGGAAGGAGACCCGCAGAGAAAAGCAGCCACTTCTGTTTGTTTTTTTCTTTTTTTAAGTGGGCTGCCCTCCCAGGGTGGGGCCGGAACTCAAGACCCTGAGATGGAGCACCCCACGCTCCACCGGCGCAGCCAGCCAGGCGTCCCCAGCCACTTCATCTGAATTCCCATTTCCCTGCACACCTAGGCCAATCCCTGGCCCTCCCTGCAACTCTCAGGCTCGGCTCATTTTCCTCAGTCGGCCAGTAACAAAATTCTGCCACAGGGTGGCGCCAAACGAAGCCAAATGAAAAACCAAGCTCAAGTTCTAGGAGGAAGGGACTTGGGAAGCAGGGGAATCACCCTGTTGGCGGCGTCCACTTTGGCACAGACGGCATCCATGGCTGCTCGTTCCTCCAACCGCTTCTGCTTCTTCTCCTTCGCTTTGCTTGACTTCCTCTGCAACAGGGAAAAGCAAAGTTGGCTGGAAGGGCTGTGGCCAACCAAAGACTCTTCTTTCCCTTTGAGGAACCTTACAGAGTCAGGCCCTGAGTCCACAGGCCTGTCCTCAGTGGCAGGAGCTGCCAACCCTGGCTGCTGCACACTTGCTGGGATGGGGAAGACGCACGTGTTTTCTAGTCGTGAGAGCTCGGGAGCATCACCAGACTTCTCAGCTTCCGTGTCAGAAAGAGTACTGATCCTGGGGAAGCAGGGCCACCGTGAGGACCCGGTGAGAGCGCATGACAATACCTGCGTAGGGCCTGGCCCCCAGCAGGTGCCTAATAAATACGCACTCATCCACTCGCTCCTAAGGAAGGAACATTCAGGGCAGGTTTCAAGGAGGAGATTCCATCTGAGGTAGCCGCTGACAGCTGTTCCTAAGGACAGGTTTATTCAAAGCCTTCTCAGTGTCTTCCTGCTCTGCAGAGTGGTGTTCGGGCCCCAACCAGTCCTCCTCTGTGTCTGCTTCCCTCGTCTGCAGGAGGTGCATGAGGTAGGAGGCTGGTGAGACTTACTCTGGCATCGCACACAACCAAGGAGAGTTCTCATTCTCGCTCCCTAGGAAGACCAGGGCAGCACGTACCCCCAGAGTTGCTCACCCCCCAGCCCAAATTCCAAAGGCACCCAAAGGCACTGACAGGATGGCTTTGCTTTTTGACCCACTTCACTGCCTCTTCTGACTCCAACTCTGTTTCCTGAGCTCATCGGAGAGAGGCTGTACTCCCTCCAAATGCACCTGAGCCCTGGCGCTGGCACCGGCCAAGGGAAGTCGAAAAACCAGATGCTGGAAAAGTTTCTTGGGATAAATTCTACCCTCAGCTCTCTGGGAATGACACTGTCTAACTCTTATTTCCAGGGACCAGGGGGCGAGAGTCCAGACACAAAGAACTCACAGGGACTGCTCTTCTAGGTGTCAATTCGTCCTACACCAGCTATTGTATGCTGCTGAGCCCCGGGCTCCCATCCCTTATCCCCTCAAGCAAGGAGCAGACAGAAGAGCACAGACTGTCTCCGTAAGGCTAGGACTGGAGGGGACAGAACCAGGCCCCCTTGACCACACACAGGCTTTAGAGCACCCATCTTTTCCTCCGGGGGTTTGAATTTCAAAACAACATCATGAAAGGTGCTCAGCTCGCAGAGTACTTCCGCAAACGTCTGCTTCGGTTCTCAGGGCAAAAACCAGCACCTCCATTCCCACGTGAGAAAACTGAGGCTCAAAGGCATAGCATTCCCCCAAGAACAAATGGCAGAGGGGGACTTATTCCCAGGGGTTGGGCCCCGGACCTAGTGTTTGTTCCACCAGCCCCGCTGTCTCCAGTGGGAAGGCTGACATCAATGTCAACAAGCCCTTCCTCTCAGTCTTGCCCAGATGCAGTCCAGGCCTCCGGAGCTGTTAAGGCAGCCACTCAATTCACTTCTCATCACCCTTCAGGCTCAGCAACGGCTGACGAGCACCCTGCCAGCTCGGTGCTGCCCCAGGCCCTACCTCTGCTCCGAGGGAGGGAAACGGAAACCCGAGACAGCCGGCCTCCAGGAAGGAACATGAGCCCTGGCATCACTCGGGCCAGGCCAATGCTCCTCCTGCTGCCCCCGCATGACCTGTGAAAGCAAGTCCGTCTCCGGAAAAATGGGGATACGGATGCTGGCCTCACCGACTCCCTGAAAGGACAGGTCAGAAGTCACCTTAGGGTAGAGGCAACCCCCCCCCTGCGCCCTAGTTCTCTCTCCACACAACACAGAGCTGAAAGATCAAAGGTGCTGGAAGGCGAGTGTGACTCCCGGGACCCAGAAAGCACTGAAACGTGGGTTCGCTCCACAGCATCTCATTTCTAAGCACAAGCAGTAATTCCTAAGCACAAGCAGCAGGAGGGCCGCCCCCAGGAGATTTACGGGCTCATTCATGCAAGGGAACAGGCCAGCCAGACAATCCTCAGTGTGAGGCTCAGGGCTGCCGTGGCCCGGGACGGCGGATGATGAGAGAGACCCCTACGTGCCTAGCTGCCCGCGCACAGGGTATGTGGCAGGCCGTAGCAGCCCAGGGCAGACAGGCAGGGGCTCTTCCTCAAACCTAGCACACGCTAGGAAAAGTGGTCTCCTGCTGTTCCAATTAGCTTTGCCCTGCCTCGTGTAGGTAAAGCTATCCTGCGGGGACACAGGAAAATTCTCCTAATTAAAATGGGAAATAAGCACAGTGAACAGTAAAGCTCATTGTGGTTAAGTGTCTTTCCCAAGGGAGCTTTATATAATAAAAAGAGTGTGGGATTTTTGAGTCAAGAGGCTTGGATTTGATTCTCAGCTCCTCCACTTAGAAGCTGTGTGACTTTGGGCAAGTTACTTAATCTCTTTTCAGCAAGTCACTTAGTTTCTCTGGATCTCGATCTCCTTATCAGTAAAGGGGCTAACAATGCCTTTACCTCACAGGACTGTTATGAGGAAAAAAATGATACAATGTACTAGATATAAAAAATAAGGACTTCTGGTTAGGAGGATCCACTAACATCACACACTCTGCTAATGCTTTAATAAACAGGTTTTATTTTAGCCTCTATAATAATAAGTTATGTGTGCCCACTTCTTTGATGAGAGAACTGAGGCACAGAGAGGTTAGAGAACTTTTCAGGGTCACAGAGCCAGTGAACAGAATTCTCAGAGAGGTCTCTCCATGCCACCCTCTCCCTCCACTCACACCAGACGGTAACACTCCGTGAGCCAGAGGTCACACCGGCTTCATCAGCCAATGCACACCCAGTCAGTGCTCAGCAAACAGCAGGTACTAAGCCCATACCTGTTTAATGGCTCAGCCAACATTCAAATCCAGGTCTGAACCCTAACATCCAAGCTTCTTCCACGACATCAACTACACGTGTGCAGCACGCGTTCTAAAGTGTGACGCAAGTGTTTCCACCTGCTGCTGGGAAAACCCTCCCCTTGCGAGCTCTCTCGAAGCAGTATCTCCACATGCAGTCAGGACTGCCAGGTCTCACAGAGACACTCAAAGCCAAAACGCGCACAGATGGGGGCAGGAGGCACCTTTCAGACAAGAGATTTGGCATCTCTTAGATTTCAGTGTCAAACCTTCACCCCCCAAAGTATCCAGGATCCAGAAAAAAAAAAAAACAAAAAACCTCCTTTTTTGGGGAAGGGAGCCAGATATCTATATTCCAATTCCTAAAAGACAACATGTCTGTGGCAGCAAGGGTGAAGGAACTTTGAAGAGAAGGGTGATCCAGCTGAGGTCTCTTAGTCTGAGGTCGGCTGTCTAGTGGAGCAGGGCCCTCCCCCTGGATGGTGCCTGCCACAAACACCGACCTTCCTGACACGGAGGTGGGGAGTCCACTGCCCCCACCCAGGAGGAAGGCGGATAATGACAGGGTTCCAGCACGGTTCCAGGGAGGAAGATTCAAGTCTCTCTTTTTTTGCAATGAGTTTTACGCCAGAAGAGACTAGGCAGGGGCCGTTCTGAGAAACACATCTGTGGAGTATGAGGAACAGGAGGAAAGGAAGCAAGGGTCGCAGCATCGCTGAGTCTTGCTCTTTCAACTCAACCAACAAAGGAAGTGCTGAACCAGAATGGCATGTTCTGCTTCTTGTCTGCTGCCCCGTCTGCAGTGGCTGATGCTGGGTAGACACCGAGTGATCCCAGGGACACAGATTTTTACCTCATTTCAACAAGAGCTGGAGTTTGGGACCTTTCACCAAAACCTGGGTTAAATAATCCTTGATTTTCTACACACGAAGTACACTGTACCCCAAATTCCTTGCTGAAACAAGACGACATGGAACCTGAAGTGCTTGGACGTGGATCAGAACTACCGTTTTGGCCTAACAAGTTGACTTGTTCAGTCAATTATCACCCGAGAGAAAATCTAGGTTAACAACAATAGGGACAAAGTAATGGGTTAAAAATAGCACAGATCTGGGGGGCGCCTGGGTGGCTCAGTCGTTAAGCGTCTGCCTTCAGCTCAGGTCACGATCCCAGCATCCTGGGATCGAGTCCCACATCGGGCTCCCTGCTCAGCGGGGAGCCTGCTTCTCCCTTCCTCTCCCTCAGCCACTCCCCCTGCTTGTGCTCTCTCTCCTGCTTCCTCTCACTCTCAAATAAATAAATAAAATCTTAAAAAAAAAATAGCACAGATCTATTTTAGATAACTCCAATAAAGGTTGAGAATACAAGCAGAAACAACAGCCACGATTTCACGCATCCACTATCTCATTTAATCCTCTCCTCTCTGAGGGGGGCGGGTATCATCATCCAGTTTACATAGAGGAGGAAATTCAAGTTCAGAAAGGCCACGTCACAGGCACAGTATCACGCTGCTAGCCAGGAAGATGGGGCTGGAACCGAGGCATCTCTGGGTCCCAAGTCAGGACTCCTTAAAGGTGGTAAAAATTCCAGGTAAAAACTATACAGTACCAGGGAGCAACGGTTCCCTTCTCAGGAGAGTGACTAATACTACTTTAACTGGAACTTAGGAAGGTGAGTTCACAGAAGTATTTGAATAATTTCTGCCCAGCCCTCTATCGGCTCATGCCAGAGAAGGGCGCACCTCCAGGCTGCCTGCCACACACAGAACAGGTGGTCACTATTCTTCTGGGTCTGGAGCCATCAGTGCCCCTCCCCACCCCCCATCAATTCCCTCCCTGCTCACCTTCTGCACAGCTTCCCCCTGCAAAGCCACCTGCAGCACTTAAGAGTACTAACGACCCAAGGAATAATCAAAAGCACTCTGTTGCATCTGGGAGGACTAAAGAGCAGGCCTCCGTTGGAGGGGAAGAGGGCGTTTTAGGAGCAGGAGGATCCTGGTGGAGAGATTTGGAAAGGGTGTAGGGAACCCCGCTTCACCGAGCATCGAGGTAGCGGGAAGCACAGCCAGTGGCTGAGGGCTGGGGAGGCCCGAGGCAGGGTTTGGCCCCTGCTCACGGTCTGTGTGACCTTGGCTGGGTGCCTCTTCTCTGGGCCTCAGTTCCCTGCAAGCCTGGGGCGGCCTAGGAGGTGGAAAGACGCGAAGCCGGTGACAGCCAGGTGATGGGTGACCCCTGGGGGCGAGGGGTACCCCAGGGTCCGCCCGGGGGTTAGGGGGTGGTCAAGAAGATAACAGGTCAGTCAGGAAGGTTGGGGGGGGGCGCGACGCGAGGGGCGGGGGACACCCAAGGGGGTGGGGCCCGGAGAAGGGGGCTCCCCAAGGGATCTCCGGGCTGCGCCGAGTGTGGGGATGCTAAGAATGTGGGAGTCGGGTCATGTGGGGGTTGGGGGTCACGTGAGGCCGGAGGGGGTCGGGGTCACGTGAGAGGGGGTTCAAGGAACAATGGGGGCGCAGGGGGACGAACGGAACGGGGAGCGCTGCCGGCCCTCGCGTCTCCTTTCCCTGCCTCACTCACCCCCATGGCGGCAGCGGCGGCAGCGACCCTCAGCTCCTCCTTCCCACACTTGCCGGTAGAGAGGCGGCAACGGCAGCGACGGCGGCAGCTACAC